CAGTCACAAAAGGACAAATACTTGATGGTGCCACTGTTGTAAAACAGGACTGACCTCAGGGTTGGGGGGATACTGAGGAAGATGGGTTCAGTAATGTATACTGCATTGAAACAGATGAGGGAGAAAACTATTTAAAAGGGACATATGAGTAGGTATTTTTGTTGTGACAGGAGTACAGAGTGAAGGATGCACAGTAGAGTGGACCTGAGGAGAGGAACTGTAAAATGATGAAAGAATTTTTCTTTTACTTTTCAAAGAGAAGAGTGTACTGGGGTGGGGAGGGGTGGACAGGGAGAAGAGTGCAACAGTGAATGAATGGAAATCTAAAGTCTCTGTAAATTTTCATTAAAATTAATTTAAAAAAATCAAAACAAAACCAAAAAATCATACAGTGCCCTTGCTCTGTTTGGACAACAGCTTCTTGGTTTATGTATAGGTTTTATATGAGTACAATTAAGTGTTCTGGAATTCCCATTCTTTTTCAATATTAACCAAAGTTTGTTCTGGTTCACACAGTCAAATGCTTTTGTATAGTCAATAAAGCACAAATAGGCATTCTTCTGGTATTTTCTGCTTTCAGCCAGGATCCATCTGACATCAGCAATGATATCCCTGATGCCATGGCCTCTTTTTTAAACCCAGCTTGAAATTCACAGTTAGAAAAATTTGAAGAACTAACTCTTGGAAATGTTTTAAGAGAGTTTTGCTGATTTACTGAAATATTTTCTGGGAGACGTTTTATTTTAATTGAGATCACCTATTTCTTTTTTTTTTTTCTACATCGAATAGATGCCATCTATGATACAGAAACCAGAATGTGTTCATGTAAGCAGAGTTGCTAATTTGTTAACTGCACACTGTGAAAGCCCTGTAATGACTTGTGTTAAAATTATACCTAAAAAATAAAAAAAAAAATTATACCTATGGGATATTTTACTTTGATAGATTTTAAAATATCATCCAGGTATATTTACATCTTATGTGACAGAGTTCATATTTTTTAAAAGTATGAACCCTTGAAATTCTTACATTAATATCTGGTGGTGGTGTTTTATGTGCTATGGAGGAGACTACCCCTTACAATGACCTTTTTAACAATAGCTCTGGACTTTGCCCTATTCTGAGCCAACCTCACTGTCTCTGACACACAGTGACAGTCACTGTGTCAATCTGTCTCATCCTAGATTTTCCTCTCCTGTGCTCACCCTCTATCCTTCCAAACATGATATTCTCCAAAGAATAGACTCTCCTGGCGGCATGCCTAAAATTTTTGTGACAGAGCTTCAAAATCTTGCCTCCAAAGAGCAACATGGTTCCACCCTCTTCAGGACAGACCTGTTCTCCTAGCAGAGAAGTTGTGTGCCTTCTTCAGGATGACAACTCGAAGGCATCGATTCTTCTGTCATCCTTAGTCATTGTCCAGCTCTCAGAAGCATAACAAGCAATTGAGAAGACCTTAATTGCTAGACTGACGTTGTTTCTCTTTAGTATTCTGGAGAAGTCCTTGACAACAGATTTCCCCAGTGCAACATGTTTTTTGATTTCCTGGCTGCTGGTGCCAAAAGTGTTGATTGTGAGTCTGAGCAAAATGAAATTAACAACCTCAGTCTTTTCTACATCCAGTGATGAGGATCTTTGCTTTCTTCTTGTTGAGATGCAATCCATATTGAAGGCTGCAGACCTTGACCTTCTGCAGCAAATGCTTCTAGTATCCGTATTAATTTGATAGTATTAAATTCCGACAGGTATTTTTCTGAAATTTCGGTATATAGGTTTGCTTTTGTAAATAATTTTCCCTTTAGTAAACTATGCACATTGACTCCACCTCCTGCCCAGTGGACCCCTGGGCGGGGCTGACACTAAGGTGCTCTCTGAAACACTGTAGATCCTCCCAGTCCCTCTCTTGGGATTCAGGGTAGGCCCTCCTGCCTCACATGCCAGTCCCTGGCTCTGTCCTCACGTCAAGGACCCAGCTCTACCCTGGTCAGCACCCCTCAAAATAAAACAAACAAACAAACAAACAAACAAACCCCAAACCAACAACAAACACCCCCCCCCAAAGAAAAAAAACCCTCCCACAAAACCCAGACATGCAGAGTGGGTTGAACCAAGACTTTGAACCAGTTGATTCCAGTTCATCCCCCTCCTGGGGATTTTTGCATTTCCAACCAGATACACTGAATCAGAAAGAGCCCTAGTGTCATAGTGCATTGGGAATGCTGATTGAAAGATCAGTGGTTTGAATCTCACAGCCCCTGTGCAGCAGAAAGATGGGCCATCTCCTCTCATCGAGATTGACAACCTTAGAATCTCAGTGGAGGTTCAGCATGAGAACTGAAGGCACTTGGTTTGCTTGGTTTATACTGAATCAGAATCTACATCATCTGAGAGTCTTGGGAAAATGTAAATTCTAGTAAAGTATTTGTTACCTGATTAATAATTGACTAGGAAGAATTATAACTGCTGACTGTTGAAGCTAATGAACTAGTTCTCAAAATTAGACACCCTTCAAGTCTGGAACTGAACCTATCCCAAGGATCAACTTTTAGCCAAGCAATAGACAGGCCTGTAAGTGAATGGTAACACCAGGGAGAAAATACTCCCCAGTATAATTAACTTTATGAGACCAAAATGGCAACTTTTGCCCAAATACAGAGCCCACAAGTGGGAAGGACTGGAAAAAAAAGGAGTCATGGAAATAGGGAGCCCAGGGCAGAGGTGAATGCAAAGTGGTTACAGTGAGGGGATTGTAGTCATTGTTCAGTGTTGCAAAACTAAATGTGAGTAGATTGTGGAAAGGGATTTGCTCTGTAAGGCAAACTTCTGCTTCCAACACACTGGAAAGCTTACACCCCTCCCCTCCCCCACCCCCACAAATATAGGAGAAAAGTGCTTAATGCTGTGTCTGTGAAAAATCCAGGAAAATAGGCTTTTCTCTTCTTTTTTTTTAGCTTTGTAGAAAAGTGGAGATTTTAATGGATTTTTCTTTATTATTTTATTTCAGCTTCATCACTGCCTAATTCACCGAGTGAAACTGTTTCTGCTCCAAATATGAGTTCTGTATTCAGTGAAAACCAAACCAATACTTCTGCTTCTCAGCTCAGTACTACCCTCCCTCCCATAACTAGTACTGAGAAAACTAGAGGGCCAGCTGGGGCTCCTCATCTCTCTCCTACTACTTCTCTGCCCCAGGAGGAAGCTGATAATAATGAGGATTCTAACATAGAGGAGGAGGTTCTTTTCACACTGAATAGTTCTCCAGCCACAGCCAAAGACACTCAGGACAATGGAGATTATGGAGATTATGACTGGACCACCAACCCTAGAGATGAGGAGTCAGAGGAGACCTTGGAAGAAAACAGGGGTTACATGGAAATCGAACAGTCCGTGAAATCCTTTAAGGCCCCATCCTCAGACATAGAAGAGGAAGATGGCCATTTCTTTTTTCATCTTCTTATTTTTGCTTTTTGTATTGCTATTGTTTACATTACATATCACAACAAAAGAAAGGTATGTTGGGGATTTTTCAACCCCTTTAGCTTGTCTTTATTATCTCAGTCATATTTCTTATTAATGCTTTTGAAGATGCATATTTTTCTTTTTTACTCACATTTAAATTGACAGTAAATTATTGAACTGTTTAATCACTCATAAACGAGTGAAATATTTTAACAAAGAATGTTTTGACTCCTTAGCCATCTAAGAATAGAAGTAGATTGATTTTTTTTAAATTACTGTAATTAAGGTACAAGTTCAGATAGCAAATTACATTTTCATTTAACAATATCCACCCTAATTATTGATGATGATATTTACATTTTAGTGAATGAGGTTGGTTGCATATTTCACAATGTGTCATTCGCATTCACTCTATTCTGGTTGTACCATTGTGTTGGTTGCCATCAAGTTGGAATCAACCCATATGTAGCTGACTTTCCCGCAAGTTTTCAGAGGTTGTAAATTGCACAGAAGAGACTGCCTGTCCTTCTCCTGTGGAGCAGCTGGTGGATTCAAACTGCATGCCTTTGAGGTTGTAGCATATCTTCTACCACTAGGCTGCCAGAGCTCCTTTTCCCAGTTCATATTATTTCTTAATTAACAAAAGCAAAATCTGGTTATTTTTATTTATGGTTTTGTATCTTAATTTAGTATTGCTATTTTGGTGGGTGTACATGTGGAGAAATATTAATAGTTTTTTTTATTTTCATTCATTAAACATTGAGCTGAATTATTTTTTAAATACTTTTGCATTTATGAAACCAGTCTATTTTAGGGAATTTAAAAATTAAAGCAATAATGTATTTAAATGATCATTTAGTGCTGGACATTAACATTTTTGTGTATTTCTAGTCTTGTATGTATACATATATTATACACAAAAATGTAGATATTATGGACTTTAATGGATTTGAACTTACATGACATTTTTTGTTCTTTTTACTTAAGAGATATTGAACATTTTCCATATTGTAAGATTTAGATTTTTTACAGTTTTGGGCTCAGAAATAATTTGGGATGAACATTTCTGCATTGGAATATTTAAAATTCTTCTGTTTTAAATGACAAAAGGATGTTGGCTTACATTAAGTAAATAATGCGTGAATAAGATTGGATGGTGATCTAATGCTGATACCTAGCCTAGAATATTTAAGCATTTCAGAATACGTAATTATACAGTTTCCTTTTTTTATTGTATGAGTTTATTTACAAAATTTGAATACTTTGTTTTCCAGAACAAATTCTTCCAATTTCCCTCACATCCCTCCCCCCATCAAATTGTACAACTCCATGATGAGTTTACTTTTTAAAGTTTATTGGTAAAAAAAAAATCTCAGTTTGTGCCTTGATTTTCCTTTTGTACCTGAGAAATGACAAAACTGGGGTCAGTAATTTAAAAATGTCTCCTGCTTTTGAGAACTAGTGCTTATGATGTCTGTGGTTTTAAGTTAAAAAAGAAAAACAAGTAGACAAATAAACCCCACTGGTGTTTTGTAGCTCAGTATCTCTTTGTAAATATTTGTCAGTGGACCAAATTTTGAATGCTAGATATTTTATCCCAGTGTTTAGGGCTGAACCATCTTTCACCTAAGGTACTAGTTAACAAGCAGATTCCTGGGCTTCACCAAAACTTGCTAATACCACCTTAAAAAAATAAAGCCCAGAAATCTGAGTCTTTAATGGGTCCTTCTTAGATGTATTAAAATTTGAGAAGCACTGTTGAATCATATTTATAAGAAGAAAAGGAAAATAGCCTTTTTGTTGATATTTAGGCATATAGGAGAGAGATATTTGAATTTTACCATATCCTTAATTTTCTCTTTTGCATATCTAATTAATTTTGTTTTATTCTAGATTTTCCTTCTGGTTCAAAGCAGGAAATGGCGTGATGGTCTTTGTTCCAAATCAGTGGAATATCATCGCCTTGACCAAAATGTTAGTGAAGCAATGCCTTCTCTGAAGATTACCAATGATTATATTTTTTAAAGCACTGTGATCTGAGATTGCATAGTATGTAATTTTATTTGCTTGACTTTTTATATAATATTGTGCAGATGTTTGCCATAGATAATTGGTACTTAAATGGGAGGTGGGTCTCTCTTTATTTTGCGTTGGTGCTTTGGAAATTAAATTTCACAAACAAGGGGTATATCATTTTTTATCTGTACTTTTGAGAGCTGAATTCAATCAAGTGTTCAAAATGTGGAGTGGGGTATTCCCTTATATTTACTTGGTTAGTTTCTTTTTCTTTCCCAAACTTGAACTAAAATCTAACATATTTGATACTGCTAACTCAGATTCTCTCTCCACTGTCCAAATACTGTGTTTAGGCACACTTAGTTTGTTCTCCCAGCTATCATGTACAAGGCTATGTGTGTTAGTATTTTACATTTAAGTACCTTTTTTTTTTTCCTTTCAGGAAAGCAGCTCTGATTATTTTTGGATAATTTAAACATAATTTAAGATAATGATACTGCTCAAAATGACCATATATGTATGTGACACATTAAATGTGTCTAGAAATTCTGGCAGTAGATATTTTGCAACTTGCAGTGGGCATAGATTAATGTTATAGGGATATTTTTTGTTTGGTTACTGAATTTAACTTAGAGGTAGAAATTGTGGTAAAATAGTAAAGATGCAATACAATTGCATCTAGCTAGGTAGCAATTGATTATAGCATGGATTTCTCCAAGCCTTCATGCAAGGGGCAGAGTTCAAAATGATAAGAGACTGTTCACTTTGTTTATTATTTTATAGTAAGTTTGAATAAATCTTATGAGCCATTATCTCTTAAAATAATATAGCATCTAGGTTTTTCAAATTATAACGATACCTGAATGAAGTTGTTTGTATACATAAATGCTGTATATGTACACTGACCTTTTCTCTCCCTGTATTTTTTTACTTTCCTTGTTTATTTACAATGACTGGAAATTATTTGCTGTATTTTATTTTTTACTATCTTTCTAGCATAAAGAATTAATCTGTAAATACATAATTTGAACCATATTTGATTTACAAGTGTCATTGTGCAACTTTTTAGAAGACATAACCTCTAATAGTCTTTAAACACCCACCTGCAAAGCCTAGGAAAGTCAGTGAATGGGTATGTACTTAGTATAGAGATGGAAGAAGCAGGACAGTCCATGGTTTCTCCCAGGTGGACAACTAATGGTCCTGATTAGGAAAGGAAGCACAATGGAAATACACCTGAACTGTCTTATTGCAGCAATTGTTTTCATATCTGAAATTGTATTATTTAATATTTTGAATAAGATTTTAAAAAATAAATAGCAAAGATATAAACTTGTGATTTTATAAATGTGTTTCATTTTAACGATAGCATGGGGTCTTGTTTTTATTATTCATTCTGCTAAGATTAATAGCAGACTATTTCTCAGGTCAACATAGTCCCAAATGCTTAACCAGTTGTATAACTCCATAATTTCTAACATTAAAAGCCCCATGCATGGTTCAGTTCCCCAATTCCTCTATGGCAGTTGGGTTCAGTGATTTGCTAGAAGGTCCTTCAGAGACTCAGAACCGTTTAACCTGTTACATGACTATAGTTATGCAGGCTGGTTTTTGCAGAAACTGGTGAACAGCAGCTGGATGCCTAGTCCACTGTATGCGATTTCTCAGTGCAGACAACTTCTCATCCCTCCATCAGGCTTGGGCTAAGTTAACATAGTTACACTGCTGCTACTGTGTTGTTCGTTTCACACACCCCACAGTGTGGAAAGCATACTCTTATATAGATCCTACAGCTGTTAATGATTTGTGAGACCATTTGTCTGCAGTTAAGGTAGCTGGAGATCAGCTAGAAAAGACAGTTATCAAGGTCTGTGACACCACAGGTCTCTAGGCCTTTGAGTGATGACATGAAGGTAGCACTATTTATGGGAGGAAACATACAGACTGACAGTTATCCCCACAACAATAGAACTGCTTCTTTGAATTCCAGTTCTAATTCTAAATCCTTCTTACTGCTAGATAGTAAAATTTATTGAAAACTAGCAAAGTAAGATTGTGGAACAGTAAAGAGGCTGAATCTGTGATCTTTCTGGTGGTGCTGTAGGTAAGGCATTTGACTGGCAATCAGCAGGTCAGTATTTTGAACTTACTAGCTACTCTTTGGGGAAACAAGCCACCTGTTTCCATGAAGCTTTGCAGCCTTGGAAACAAACTACCCTGTAGAGTCAAAACTAGTTAGAATAGACTCAGTCACCATGGGTTGTTTTGAGTTTATGGTCTGTAATAATGTGTCCTGGTAGTGTGGTGATTAACACTCATTAGCTAATTAAAAAAAACAACCAAAAAAACCCCACCATGTTGGCAGTTGGAACTTTCCAGCCATTTTGTGGGAAAAAGATATGGCAGTCTGCTTTCATAAAGGCTTATGGTCTGAGAAACCTTGTAGGGACAGTTTACTTTGTTCTACAGAGTTGCTTTGGGTTGAAATTGATTTAATGGCAGTGGATTTTGTCTGTGAGAAGAGGCACCTCAACCTGGAGAGACATTCACCTTAGTGGATCTAAAGCCCTAGGGCTCTTTACCATTCAAGTCTCAGTGTTGTAATCAAGTAGTCTAACTTTATTTTCATTTGAAGATTTACAATTCATAGTGGTTTTTCATTCAATTATTCATAGATGTTTTGTTTTATAACATCAGTTACCATTGGTTAATTATAATGTCCAGTCAATCACTAAATGTGTATTGCCTTTCTCCTTACCTCCCTGAGTCTTGCAGTATCAAACTGATTAAATATGTTGCTGATGTCTCTCAGACCTAAGCTGCAGGTCTAAGGACCAAAGATTCATGTTTGCTTTTACAGAACTACAGTATCCTGCTCTGTGTGGTACTGTCTGTTCTCTTCTCCTAGTCAGGTTTTATGCATAGAGCAGGGTTTCTACAGTAAATATTGGCACTGATGGCTTAATAGGTTACCCTTTAGTTTTCATTTCTATATTGCTGTTATGTGCCATTGAGTTGGCCATGACTCATAATAACCCTATGAAGCCTTCCCTATCCTGAGCCAGTCTCACTAACTCAGATACACCATTGTCCCAATTACCATGTCAATCCATTTCATCTGGGGTCTTCCTCGTCTGCGCTGTCCCTCCACCTTTTCAAGCATGATATCCTTCTCCAGGGCTGGTGTCTCCTAGTCACATGTCTCTAAGGAGAAATTTCACTCTCTCCAAGACAAACTATTTGTTCTGGTGATATTCTTCAGCACCACAACACAAAGGCATGAATTATCCTACTCTCATCCTTTGTCATTGTCCAACTCTGCAAAGACCATGGCCTAGATCAGGTGCATCTTAGTCTCTAGACTGACATCATTGGTCTTTAGCACTTTGGAGAGGTCCCTCACAGCAGACTTACCCAATGCAATTCATCTTTTGATTTCTTGACTGCTGGTGTTTGTGGAGCTGAGCAAGCTGAAGTTGTTAAAAATCCCAATCTCTTCTCCATCCATCATGGTGCTGCCTGTTGACCCAGTGGTGAGAATCATTTCTATGTTAGATCTGAAAAAGAATATATTTAATCTTTGTGAGGCAGTTTATCAGATCAGCTCCCTCGCTGCAATCTATTGAAAGTGAGCACTCGATACAAGGGTTTGTAAAAAAAAAAAAAACCAAACAAACCCCAAAACTGGTGAGGCAGTTTGTATAAGTAAGTGTGTCAAGGTTGGTAGTATTTTGGTTATAAAGAATCATTAATAAAGTCTAATGGTGAAATTTGACAATTGTCTTCAGTGTGTCTCAGGAAAGAGTAATCTGCTAGCTTGTATGGCTAAATCCAAGAAGAATTGGACTTTGGGTTTCATCTTGTCTTTTTTCTTTAACAAATTGTGATAAATACATATGTAAGAAAGCATTTGCTGTTTCATCTTTCATAAACACAATTCAATGACTTTTTTAAAAAATCAAGTTCTTCAGCTTTCACTTACCTATTTCCATCTTTTCCCATCATCCTTTATAGAAGCTCTTATCTAAGCAAACAATAAGGTCCCAGGAATTGAAATACCAGTTGAGGTGTTTAAAAAAACAGGTATAGCCCTGGGCATGCTCACTAATCTACGTCAAGAAATTTGGAAGGCAGCTACCTGGCCAATAGCCTGCTTTTGTTTGTTTTCATTCCAAAAAAGGTGATCCGTTGAGTGCCAAAATTATTGAACAGTTTTATTATTATTACATGCAAGAGCAGTCTTGCTGAAGATTGTAAGCAGTATTCAAGAAGAGATTGTGAAAGGAGAGACATCAAAGTGCTTTCCCAGGTGGGTCCAGTGGGGATGGCTGGTTGAACCCAGAGGCTCCATCCTCCTTTGCTTCCTTAGCTGTCAGTTGTATTTCCTTTTTGTCA